GGAAGAAACATCGGATAACTTGGTCGCTACCGACTGTCTTTTCTTCTTTGCAGCATAGGCCTGGTTGAACAAATCATTGGCCGCTGCCACTTTGATATCGAAACCCCTTGGAAGAGCATATTCAGGGAATGCTTCTATCGAGGTGTCGCGCGACTCCACTAGAACTTCCAGGGGGGAGGAGTAGAAGAAAGACCTAAAGCGATGTTTCAGTTCGTACGCCCCCTCACTCGAGGTGGTAGGTGGTTGAGATGAGTGGCTTGAAGGAGTGGTGACATCGGACATCAGAATATCGAGGATCGAGAAAGGATCTTCCTCGATGGTAGCTCGATACTCTGACACATTGCTTGGAGCGGGCTCGTTTATTTCAGGTAATGTCTCCGAGAGTAACTCGACCGAAGGCATTGCAAAAGGAGGAGAATCCTGTTGCTCTGCGGAAACTGGGGAAGGAGAGTCTTGGACTTGGACTATAGGGATATTTACTGAAAAGAAAATAAATCGAAAAGGTGAATCGAAAACTCGTAATAAAGAATGGAGTAAAATGAAACTGTGAGAAAAATTAAGTACCAGGGGGAAGTAGAGCAAGGGATGTTGAGGCAGGAGGAGGATTCTGTATAGCCTCAGGTTGCTGTAAATCGAAACAAGTATCAGAAAAGGAAATGTGTTAAAAGTCAAATAAACATACATACAAAAAAGTTAGGAGTTGTACCTCAGAAATAGGTATCGATGATTGAAGTTGAGATTCGACATTTGTCGATACAGTCGCTGTAGGATGATCCTGAAAAATATCGAGAGTCGAAATCATGAAATGGGTCTTATCGAAACCTAGGAATATAAAATTGTGTAAAAAAGGGACTTACGTGACTCGAATGTGTGGCGGGTGTCGTCTGACCCGTTTTTGTGACTGTATTAGAGTTCGTCGATAATGGATTGACAGTAGTTGGTTGAACAGATCGAGGATTCTTCGATTTTTGTTTCTGAAATTAGAAATCGAAAAACAACAGAAATATGTTAGAATTCAAGTGAATCGGCTATAGACAAAAAGATAGATAAGACAATAAGGAATCGAAAAGAACCTTCGATTTCTTTGAAGATGAAGAAATGGTGGCCGAGTGCTTGCGTTTCCTAACGAAGGCCGATGGATCTGACTCATCGGAGGACTCCCAGTCCTTTTCCTTCTCAGAGGGGACAGTCTTAGAAGATTTCAAAACTGTTGAAAAAAGGAGAACAATTAATTAACAGTATGAAGAAAACCAAGGATACTCCTAAAAGAGGTAGCAAAATCTCACCAAAAGGTGATGGAATCAAAATCTTGACTCGGTCGATATGTACAAGCCAGGGAGGAAGAAGAATTTGAGGAAGGTTTAGGTAAGAGAAATAGGACAATTTCGATACAGAAATATCTTTGTTTTTGGGCTTGGGATAAAGGGTTTCTTTCAAGGATCTCAATTCTCGAACCCATTTAGGATGAGTTAGAGGTTTGGCAAGTCCAAAAAGAGTTGTAGGGAAAGTGGGAAGGGGATCGGGACAATACATTTCAAACGAGGTTTTGCCTCGAGGATTGATTATTTTGTGGTTGGATCGATTAGTGTTTGTCTTATTGGCTAAGGAAATAACAGCGTCATAAAAGGTCGATTCTAATTTCAAAAGATTGTAACAAACTCGATAAAAATTCTCGAATCGAGATATTTGAAGATAATGGGAGTGTGTACCTTTCTTCGCTTTGGATTTGTCCTGCAACACAAGAGAAGGATGAGCAGTCAATTTTCGTTGGACTTCGTCAAAATCAGAATGATTACTCGAGAACCAATCGGCCCACCATTGAGAGAAACCCAGAGTTGATAAATAATTAGATTAAAAAACATAAGGATAAAAATGCATTAGGGTTTTTGGCAGCAGTTTAGAGAGCTCCCGTTCGATCGTCGATTCACTTAACTTGGACCTTGGGGAAGTATCGAGAGGATAAAAAGGTAAGGCTTGACTCAGACCAAACTACCGCGAGAAAAGCTGGGGGTAATAAGTGATGAGTTGAAGGTCCTTCGATTGGAAACCCGATACCAAGATATCTTGAGCTAAGTAATTACTCCATACTTCGATCAATTCCGATTGTAGTCTGGGAGTAAGAGCAGGAAATTTCGATCTAAACCATGTTTGCCCTCGAAGTTGGTCACTTATTTGTCCAAGATACACAGTAAAAGGGGCCAAACTCGAATCAAAATGAAAGCGGGTCAGCAAAAATTGCAAGTAATTTCGGTAACTAGTCTCATCGGATTTGTGATGGGGATGTCGAGAAGATAATCGAGCACCCTCTAAATTCAAACTTGGGGGGATTTGCAAGGTTGGGGGGAGGGTACTCTCGAAAATCGAGGTGAGCCATAATTGAATAAACCAAATAGGACCCGAAAAATTCCCCGAGGCCCTAGGGGCGTTCAAAATATCGACAGCCTCATCGAAAGCAGTATAAACATGGGCCAATAATAACTTGGCTAAATTAATTTGTGGTTGGCCAGTATGAAGAATGTAGGTGAGGTTATAAAGGTGGGATGTAATTTGGATAGATCGGGGGCAGAAGACGTGGGTGTATAACCAGTATACCAAGAAGGCCACGTGCTCCTCATCAGAAACAGCCACCGTTGAATCATCAATGAAATGTTTCTCGAGAAAATGCCCATAGGCTTTTGATTCCCAATCGATTTTGGACCTTAAGGAATTGTCCGAAGAAAAAGCACCTTTAAAATATTTTTCTCCTATGGGTTTTAGCCCGGTAATAGCAGCAATTTCGAAAAGAGTGGGCGAAAAAGGGCCACAAGGCAGTTCCAAAGCATGCAAATCCTTATTCCATAAATGAACAACAGATAAAAACATGGACATATCCAAGAAGGACAAGTCACACTGAGACAAATGAAGAAAATCGAAAATTCCTACAACCCTTCAATGGTCCCCAAACTTAGCCTTAATTCGATCAAATCATTTCATGTACGAGGGTTTTTTGTGAGGTGGGCCCGTTCGATATGCCTTGGATACAATGTGTAGAAAATCTATTCGAACCTCAGGCTGATGGACAAGAGCTTTACTCTCTGAAGGAAGGCTGAGAGAAGAAGAAAAAGATCCACCACGATAACGGATAGGACCTCCGAAAGCGTAATTAATATTATCAACAATATAGGGAATGAGTACCTGCGTCTCAGCGATTTTTTGAGAAGCTTCCTCCATCAGAGGAACTGGAGCGAATTTCTGGTTATTGATCTCCAATAGGTTGATGGCCACCGAAGGAAGTGGTGGGGTGGAAAGGTCAGAGGATCGGGATGAGGTTGCCATTTCACTAGCCGATAGAGCAGAGGAAAATAGAGGGTAAAAGACGGAAGTGCAAGGAAGAAGACGAAGATGCAGAGGAGGAGTAAAGTTCGTGGTAAAAGACAAGAGTAAAAGGCTAACAAACGTTTGAAGCACTAGGGTACTGGAAGCGACAAAGGGTAATTAATGTGGCGTGTACAGTAAGGCAGCAGACTGATGTGATTGTGACATAAAGCAGGAAGAAACCTAAAACCCTGAAAACCCCCAGAAACCTTAAAACCTAAGTTATTGTGGGCCCCCAACACGCGAAGGCGGGAATCATGTTGAAAGAATATAAACAGAAACTATTTATATTCTTCCAATGGGACATTTTGTTAGTGGGAAATCGATAAAGGGATCGAGAAACAAATGGGAGCAAAAATCGAGAACCATTTCGATTGAATTAAAGACTGATAAATCGAAAGATAGTTGGAAAATACGTTCGACGACCATGTGACAATATAAGCGAGAATTATAATCGAGAATCAAAGGAAGAATGTTTAATATCCGTTAGTGAATGAAATCGAGAAATCAGAATTATGTAATGTTAAGGATAAGGGAAAGCAAAGGCAAGTCAAACGTTCTCGAAATTCCGAAATCAACATCGAGGGAAAGGTTAACCCATGTATCGAAATCCCGGCTAAGTTATAAAGAGAGGAACAGTTGATGTGCACATCGAACATGGTAAGCGGTGGCAAAGGTCGAAGGTCAAGGGAGCAGTTACCTCATGTATGGGAACGTGAATGCAGTTTCTAAACTGTAGAGCTAGGAGTAAAACTACAAAAGACGTGCACACAGAACGTGGTAGCAGTTTTCGTTAACTGCTCCTAAGAGATTACTTGAAAGATGCTCTATAAATAGAGCGAAGGAGGAAGGGAAAAGGGGGGGGGGTGGAAATTGGCAGAGAGAGCAGGAATACTAGTGAGAAGCTATTGGAGAACGACGAACATCATGAAGTTTCTGGCGATCTGGATTTCCATGTTTATTGATTTCCTTTACCGCTTTCTTTATTTTCCCTGGTAATTTACTTTGATGTAGTTTACGTTTAGCAACTTTAAGTTTCTGTATTTTCGATTCCTTGTCATTTCCCTTTAATGAAAGTTAAGTTTCTGCGTTTAAGTTCCTTGTCATTTATATTAACGCAATTTCGATTTCCTGCTGTTTACATTTCCGAGATTTCGATTACTTGTCATTTACCGTTTGTGCAATTTCGATTTCCTGTTATTCTTTTTCTTGCGATTTCGATTTCTTGTTGTCTATTCTTCTGCAAAGTTAGATTTTTCGCTTATTTACAACCCTGCAATTTTCGATTCCTTGCCATTTACATTTAATGCAATTTTGAGGTTTCTGCACTTTACATTTTCTGCAATTTAATATTTCTTCGCAGCTTTATATTCTGTACCACTTTTCAATTTGACATTTTACTGCTTTCTTTATTTTGAGTGCTTTAAATACAAAATACCAAAAATTACACTTATGATTTGCACTTTAAGTAGCGATGTTTGCATTCCCAAGATTCTCGATTCTCATACATTTTTCGATTGAAAACTAGTTGCTAGCCTAAGTAAAAAGAATTTACGTGGTTGGAATTTGGTTAGAACAAAATTCCCTAGAAATCGAAATCGATCAAAATTCCACTAGAAACAATATGTCACTCAGATATTTCCTAACTAGCTATTTGTTGAAGGTGAGCTAGTTCCACTTAGCCAAGCATCATGCACAGATACAGGAGAGCTGTCCTTCACTTCCGAAAGTGATTGCAAAAACATTTCAGTCTTGGGTGGAACAATCAATGTCTCACTCCCTTGCCCTGCAGCTCTCTCAAAACTAACACCTCCTAGTGAATTCTCAGTTCCTATTCGAGGAGATGAACACACGGACCCAACGGATGAAGCTGTGCATATGGTTTCCTCCATAGTTGCCCACTCACTTCGTCTGATAAGTTCTAGCTCCTCAGCCACTTCAATCATGGTAGGCCTCATGTCACTGTGAAAAGCAAGGCATCTAAATGCAAGCTCAGCCACCTTGTGAACAGAATAGAGTGTCCAAGCATCCCTATGTGGATCAAGGAAGGGATCAATGATGTCATCAAGACAACCTCTCCTAATCCTTTCAACTGCAAGTGCGGCCAAATTGATTTCACTTCGAGGTCTCGAAAAATCAACCACTTTCATGGCAGTTATTATCTCTACCAAAACAACTCCAAAACTGTAGACATCACTTTTATCAGAAAGGTGGAAGTTCTGGTGATATTGGGGATCAACATAGCCCGGGGTCCCTTGTGGGGCGGTAGAGATATGTGATGTTTCTGACATGCCAAGCCTAGAAAGCCCAAAATCTGCCACTTTTGATTGAAAATTATAGTCCAACAGTATATTGCTGGATTTTATGTCTCTGTGATATATTGGAGGGTTAATTGCAGAATGGAGGTACGCTATAGCATTAGCAGTTTCGGTAGCAATGGTGAGTCTTATTGTCCATGTAAGTACTCCACCCCTCTCTCTTTGCAAATGTTGAGATAGTGTTCCATTGGGCATAAACTCGTACACAAGTATCTGCTCTCCACCTTCTATGCAGCAACCTAGGAGGCGCACTAAGTTTGGGTGACTCACTGAAGAAAGGAGCTTGATCTCGTTCATGACTTGGTCAACACTGTTGGTGTCTCTATACTTAATCTTTTTTATAGCGACGCACTCATCATTGTGAAGGTGTCCAGCATAAACTGTGCCAAAAGCCCCAGTTCCCAGCCTATGTTTTTCAGAGAAAAAACTTGTGGCTCTTTCTATTTCTTTGTAGGGATATAGAGGAACAGTAGAGTCGCCTGCAGCTTCTCGTAATAGGCGCTTTACTGTCGCTTGTTTTCTCAGCCAAGAGGAACGACGCCTAGTAAAGTAACATAGAAGAGACAGAGCAGCCACCAGGGTAGCCGCAATTATGACCCCTGTAAACAATCATGCAGCATTTGTTCAAAGAAGAGTATTATAACTAATCGATTATGTATCCGGATAATGGAAATAGAGAAATAACTGAATCAAGAAAGACACAAAAATCAGTTAGTACATAGTCTTCTCCAATGTTGCTGATTTACTTTTTGTTCAGTTTTCTCCGACTGTTGTTTATTTTCGTATATTTTAAGGAAGATATGCTTTCAATAATCGATACTATTAGTAAGTAAACTAATTATTAACAAGAAACTTTGAGGAAGATAACGATTCCCGTAGAAATCCATTTATAATGAAATCATTGAATAAGAAATCTATGAAGTATACTGCATAGAGGATCATATATTGGAAGAAGTTGAAGTTGGTAAGGTTGTACCTCCGACTAGGACACCAATTTTGATTGCTTTTCTACATCCGCCTGACCATAGTGTTGAAGCTTTGCATTCAGGAACTGATAAGGCTAAAACGAAAAAGGAATTAGAAAAATGACAATATTAAATACATAGAAGCTTACTTCTCAAACGAAATCAAATAGTTATTACATGATGCAGCTGACTTTCTTACACCTATAATTTTATTTCAGACACCAAAACAAGAGACTAAACATCATGGCATTATTCAGATCTACGACAGAGTCCGTGAGCTCGTATCCCGTATCAACTGTCGTGTCTTCAATAATATTCCTTATGGATTGCGTCAAAGTAGATGTTTACTTAATTTTAGTTTTCCAATTTCGAGAGTCAGCAAAAGATAAAATGATAAAGCAACATGTGTCCGTCGGTGATGTCCTGAACTAAGAAGTTACCTGTTACTACTGGGTTCATTTCCTAATCCCCCGCACATGATAAATGTATTTGTCACCACTCTCCCTTTGACCACTTACAATATAGAATAGAAAAAATTCAAATCCATCCTTCCAGACATGTGCTTTACCTAATATTGATCCCTAAATAACCCAAAGGTACCGTCAGAACATGTTGACTTTTGAAGGATTCTTTCCGACGCAAATTACCATTCAAAACAAGAACATATCTAGCCAAGCATTGAACAGTTCCATTCTTCCATATTCTCTGCGAAATTATGGGTGACTAATCACCCATAAACTTCAAAACTTTCTTAATTACCAATCCCCACCCCCTCCCGAAAGAGAATCAATATCATCATCATCATCATCTAAATTGGTCCACAAGGATCAAAATATTGAACCTTATGCTTAAATCTACATACCATCCATGCCCCTAACAAATCAAATCTCTCCATTATGGACCTTCATAAAGCACACACTGATCTTTAAGAGATTCCCCCACTTAAAATACCTCAACCCCAACATTCCCGATGCACAATCCTACGCTGGTATTATAAACTAAACCAACCTGGTTGCCAAAAGCATAAAGCCGCGACCACGTGTCAAACCCCACTTGGACATCATTCAACAATCATAATCACCATCCATTATCATCATCATCATTACAATAATTACTTCAAATAAAGTAAACATTGTCCATATACCCCCTTTCTTAATTTAAACTCTTTCTTATACCATACTTCAGACATTGTTTACCGTATACCTTGCTATACTATTAATTCACTATCCCCATAACCAGGATGCATGAGAAGAGATCATTTTCTAGTATGAAATATTACAGTAAAAATCAACAAATTAACATGTGATTGAATGAGAATATGAAAGTACTCACTACTCCGGCAACCGTCGCCGTCTTTGAAACCGTCGCCGACGAAACCTTCATGGCAGTGGCATCGGAAGCCTGGTTCTCCTCTCCCAAGCTTGACCTCCGTGCAGGATGCATTGTTGGAGCAATGGCACGGCCCTTTAAGCCACCACCCCAACTCAAGCAACTGTAATTGGAGTGAAAGCTCTTTCACTTTACTCTTATCATAAGCAAGAGCAGAGAACAAGAAGCGACACCCAATTCCCTCCAAATCTTGCTGCACGAGCACATCTTCTCGCGAACTATTACGCTGCAACTGCGTGAAGCAAATAAAATCTTCACTTTTGTTTTTGCTGTCGCACCCCTCCACCAGGTTGTGATCGCTAACGAAACTCGATGGGTGAATATCGCAGTCACCCAGCTTGGACTCGCAACCCTGTACTAGAAAGCTATTGTTTAACGTAGGAGCAAAGTTGTGACCGAAAAGAGGGTCTATGATTCCCATGCTGCGGTTGCACTTCAGCGGAAGACTGACGAATATGCTATCAGAGGTTATATTCTGAACCTCTAACTCGCCGATTTTGACTTTGATGTTGTTGCTGCAGTTTAGTTTGACTTCGCAGCCAGAAGAGAACCCAAAAGGGTATTGCAGGGAATGTTGTCCGCAACTGCGCGTGCAGTTGCTGCTGGTTTTGGCGATCGTTGAACAGAACATGAAGATGGTGAGAACCACAGCGAACTTTGTGCTGTGGTGAAACATGTCTGGATGGGAAATGAAACTTGGATGTGAGGAAACAGTGTAATCATCACTCTTCTGCGGAAATAAAGAGTTAGCCTTTTGATGAAATTGGAAAAAAGTATAACGATGTGGTTGACTTTGGACTTATGGAAATTAAATCCTGCGAAAGATGCAGTTGGGAAGCCATCTATCTCAATAAATGCGTCCAGAAAATAAAGGTTTCAATTACGTTTCCATTGGGAAATGGAGTAAAAATTGAAGGAGTGATGTGGATATGATATGCATACCTGATACTACCTTTAGCTTCAGGGCTCGGCAACGTTGGGAAATTAATGGGTGTGGCAGAGGCGGGAGTTATTCACCAAACTACTCCAAGATCGAGGTTGAAAAAGTTAATGATGGTGTCATGTAAGATGTACTAGAAGAGTAACGTTGTTGTTTGTGGAGCAGAAAAAAACTAAGGAATGAAAGAAGACCATGGCATTGTACAGCATAAGCAGAAGGAGCGTTTTGATTGAGGGAGATTTCAGTGAAGCTTCTTCTGGTTCCCACACGCTTGTTCTGGGACCGGAACGTAAAAGCCATGTCTTTATTTTGTGGCCTTTTTCTGAATGACGAATCTAGCCTTTGCTGAATTCAGAATAATCCATTTTATCTCAACCACCAATGATTATTTTGAATGTCAGAGAATAAAAATATCGATTATAAAATATTCACAAGTCCAAAATCAAATACCTACTAATAATTTTGTAGTAAGAGTGTCGAAAATTTTAAAAAAGGCAAATTTTCACAGAAGTTATCAAGTTTTAGACTATTGATTTTCCATCAAAGATAATCAATCATCATGTATAAAATATATCATTACGTAGCATTTGAAATTTGATTTGTGCATACTTTTATATTCCTTTGACACAATGAAAAAAACAATTTACTCACTACTTGTTAACATATTTTCTCTTCTTAAATCTCTTAATTTGTGTCTCATTTTCCACCTTTTCAATGTAAATAACTTTTATTGTGAGACCTACCAGCTTTATGTTTCTTTGATAAACCTAATTTGAGACTATATTTTTATTTCTTCTTAATTTCTATGCTATTTTCCTTAAGCTATAATTTTGTAAGTATTAAAACTTGCACAAATCCTTTTTTTCACAGAGAAAAATGCCCAGCTTCAAACAATTGATTTTTCGTCCGCGCGTGTGTGTGTGACAAATTCTTTGATGACTGAGAGATAAAAACTCGTCTTGCATCAGACACCGTACAAGAATCGATTTGAACACTCATTTGATAGTTTAGAGTTCTTTAATTCAATTTAACTTTTTGGTTTTTGTAAGCAGTTTTAAAATTTATTTTTGAAAAACTGATTTTAAGAATAAATTGAAAAAAAAATTATTTTTTTACCTTTTTTTAATTTTAAAAAAATTAAAAACAAAAATTATATTTAAAATCTGTTTTAGCAAAATATTATTAAATAAGTTTTTTTAAATTTTAAAAAACTAAAAAATTAAAAATTTATTTTTAACCACAATAAATAAGAATTCCCCTATTTTTTCTGCTTAAATCTCTTAATCTGTGCCTAGTTTTTTTTACCGTGTAAAACTTTTCTTATGGGGTTTTTGTAAGTTGTTTTGTTATAGATCCATTTGAAATAAATTGTGTTCCCTCTTCTCAATTTATATTATATTTTTCATTATATATATATATATATATATTTATTTATTTATTTATTATAGCATTTAAGTTGGGTTGAAAAGTAATACTTTTAAGCACGTGAAAATGACTAATAATTTTTATAAATTATATTTGTCTTATTTCAATAAGTTTCATGTCAGAAGTTTAATGTATAAAAAAAATCGGATTACCTAAATGCTTATAAAGCTGGCTATATTATAATCTATTTTTATGTTAAATATTAATCATTCTGTCTTTATTAAGTAGAAATCATTTTAAAAATCGGATAATTAGTCTAATTGAAAATTAATTTGTAAATCAGTCTATTGATTTTAAATAATAAAATTTTAATTAAATCAAAATAATTTTAAAAAATTTGGTATAAAACTAAAAAAATATTGAATTTTTTTTTGCTGATTTAAGATCAATATTTGTTAATATAATATTTTCTAATAAATTTTTTAATACATTTTTATTTTTATTTTTTATCTTATATTAATTACATCAAATTTAAATATATTATTTTATCATATTTTCATCTTATTTTAATAATTATTCATCTTATATTTTTTAATATATTTTATATTTGTAATCTTTTATTATAATTTACAATAATTATAAAAATATTTAATATTTTTTTCTTTTATAAAAAAATATTACTAATAAATTTATTATATATTTATTATGTTATAAAAATATTATTTTATTAAATTCAAGTTACTTGAATTTATATTTTTATTAGTTTAGTAATTTTTCCCATTTTAAAATCATTGATTGAAATACATTAACAGACAACAATTATTTCAATCTATAACTATAATTAATCATTTTTTTTATTCATGAAACTTAAACTTAGGATCTCGTTTAAGTGATTTAAATAGAATATTACTTGGAAAAAAGAATATGAATACTATTTGAATACTTTGGTTGTGTAAGAGGAAAACGCCTCGTAGCAGACGCCAAATTGCATGATAATGATTTTATATTTGAAAAAACAAAAAAGTAGGAAGCTGTTAGCGATGGTCAACCAATACATTATAAAATGGAATAACCAAAACGCAAGATGGGTGGCGTGGAATATGTGCGGTACGAGAATAGTGGCGCCGTTTAACTTACGGGTAAATAATATATTATTAATAAATAATAAATAAATATAAAAGTAATAAATAAGATGAAAAATAAAAGAATAAAATTGTAAATATATACTTAAATATATTAAATGATCATTAAGTTGAGAGAGATAAAATCATAAATTATATAAGAGATTACAAAATTGAGGAGAGACTAACGAGGATAAAATTATAAATATATAAGTAAATATATTAAATGTTAATTAAGTTTGGAGGACCAAAATTATAAATTATATGGGAGTTACAAAACTTTGGGGGTCACGGCCTCCTTCAGCTCCCAAGAAGATCCGCCACTGGTGAGGAGAACCCATTGCCTTTGCATTTCCCTCTATCCCAAATAAAGTGAATATGACCTATGATAAGGGCTAGAGCAAGGGAAACAAAAGAAATTCTTCAAGTATTGTTGGTTGACTAAATTGTGTTTTGGATTAATCAATTAATGGACTTAGGTTTAGTTTTATTGCAAGTTGTAATAAGGGTCTAATTGAAAATTTAGTTATCAGTCTTTGGGAGACCAAAATGGTGCATAAATGATTGAATTTTGGATGCCACAATTTCAGTTATAATCAATCATTAAGTAGTTTTCAATTCCTAAGTTAATAAATTATTATTAGCATTTATTTTCCTTTAATGAATATTTGTAACTCTGATGACAACTCTTTTATAAGTTGAACCATTTTTAGCAAAAAGAACAAGAGTTTATTTTTAGAAATATTAGAGTTTATCTCTTTTATCTTAGTGAGAGTGATTCTCTTAAGTTCTTGAGTAATTCAAGAATATTTTGCTGTATCAAAGGACTTTCACATCCTTTGTTTGTTACCTTCTTTGGAAAGAGTGATTATTTCCTTCTACCTTATCACTAAATTCCTAAATTTTGTACCAGGTTCTAACCTTAAAGATACTAAATTACCCCTTGAAATTCAGTATTTTGTAAATTATAACTAATACTTTAAACCTATTCAAGGTAGGTGTAGGATAATGTATGCATCTTCAAGGGGACAAGTTAAGGGTACACTACCCAGTCCAACTCATTCTGTTCAACCCTAAATTCTATACTCCTATGTCAATTCAATTTAGTACATGTCCATTGATTTGGATCATTACACAAAACAGACAATGTTTATTGGTTAGCCTAACACGTAAATATAATATGCCACTTTACCAAATTTAGTTGTGTTCTCAATGCATTATACCAACCGTTGTAACCACAATTCGGGAGGGAAACCTTCGTATAATACTGCCTGTACATATAAAACTGACATGAAATAATATTGAATAAAATTATCATAGATTCTTCAAATTTAATACAAGAATAACACCAATAAAAATATCCATGATATCATATAATTTTATAAAATTAAATTATTTCTTGAATATAGCTTCTAAATCCACTGTTGCTACAACTCGAAAAAAAAAGTGTTTTATATGAATTTAGTTAAGAAAAATACCACTAATTATTTGTTAAACAACAGCAAAATACTAAGGTATTATTGATTTGTAATACCAAAAATAGTAACTAAAGAATTAAAATGTTTGAAATTAATTATAATAAAACTTAATTATTATATTTCTATATTTATAATTTTAATATTTTATGTACTTTTATATATTTATTTATTATTATTTATTTGGTCCACCAAAATAAACCTCTTTCACTAACAAAAGAAGTGCACCCTTCACAAGTTCTTAGTCATGTCCATGTGCCCCTGTTGACTTTCCTTGGCTTTGTGTCTGGCTTTTTCTTCTTGGCATTGTTACAACTTAGAATACTCATTCCACAATCACGGGCGTATTCATTCAAATTCATCATGTCAATTCTTAAGAACCAAATACATCCCCTTCTAATTGTGACGGGTCAATTACTATTAGGCTCTTGTTTCTTATCTTTTCTTTATGGATCTTCTTCGTGACGTGTGTGTATGAATTTATCTATTTATTTGGTTTGGTTGAAACCACTGGTTGTCTCAGAGTGTGGAATAATATCATCCCACATTTAATAACGCCCAGAGAAATAGGGGCTCTTATTTGGGGTCCGTGTCCCCTCCTAAGCTGATTATATTCTTCAAATATCAAAGGACTTTTCAATTTTATCTTTATGGTTCTTTTTGCTCATTTTAAATTGGATTCTTTATGTTAAAAGTTCATTTCTTTAGTTTATTATTACTATTATTATTTTTAACATGTGACATCGTTTTCATTGACACATTTACTAGACCAAAT